CACTCTTCTCATCAGTCACAGATTACATTTAGAAATCTTCAATAACCAATCATATGTTTCCTTTTATCTCCTGCCTGCCACTGGAGGAATGACAGTTGGAATCTGATTGATCGGAGAGGATACCCTCCGGAGAACTCGATAAAGATACACATTGTGGATGACCAACATTGACGGGACACAACGACTCACATTGACACCGACCAGACACAATGATTGGTGATGACAGGACACAGAAGAACTAAGTAGGCCATAGACGGGTCATTTATCGGCCGATAAACGAAAAATCGGTCGTTGCCGCCAGGGGCGGACTGACTATTTGGAAACTTGGGCACTACCCGAGGGCCCTGGGTCAGTAGGGGGCCCCATGAGATGCCCCTGGTACCTTTTTTCATAGGCTTTTTTGAGTTTTGGCAAGGACACAGGGGCCCCATGATCCCCTATTGCCCAGGGGCCCCATGAGTTGTCAGTCCGCCCTTGGTTGCCGCCATGGATGCCGCCACCAATGTGACAGCAATACGTACAGGGATTGTATTTTTTTTTTCCCCCTGAATCCTTCCTACGAACTGGAAGTCCAGTCCTAGCTATTATATTCTTGCGGTTGCAACAAATGTATCCATTTGTATCCAAATAAAAACATTATGTTTTATTTGGATACAAATGGATACATTTGTTGCAACCACAAGACTTTTTCACATAAAATATAATAGCGGACTGGACTTCCAGTTTGTAGGAAAGATTCAAGGGGAAATTTTCCAACATGACCGATAAAATGACTAACAGTGCCAAAATCGGCCGATTTTTGACCCGTCAATGGCCGGCATTACACTGACTGGACACTATGGGGGGGTGCAAAATCTGGTGCAGCTGTGCATGGTAACCATCCGCTTCGAACTTCAGCTAAAACCTGGAAGCTGATTGGTTTCCATGCAGAGCTGCACCAGTTTTTGCATTCTCCAGTTTTGGCAAATAACTAAACACCATCCCACCACCTTAAAGTATTATTGTGGCCCCCGGCAGGGGTGTATTTACCACAAGGCAAACAAGGCATGTGCCTAGGGCGGCATTTTTTAGGGGGGCAGCACTTCCCCCCCGGAAGAAGGGACATATTCGGCATGGGGACTAGGTGAGATCCAAGAGAGGCTGCGGGCTGCTTGATGGTGTATGGAGAGCCCGATTGTCGTTCCCAGGGATGTCCAGAGCTGTGAAGGTGAGTGTCTTTCTCTCTGTCCCATGGAGGGGGAGGTGGGGGGGTGTCAGTGGAAGGCTCTCTCCGGTGGGCGATGGGGTGTTGTTGGTCACTGTCAGGCTCTCTCCGTGGGAGAAGGGGGTGTTGGTTGTTGTCAGGCTGTCTCCGTGGGGGGTGTTTGGTGTTGGTTGCTGTCAGGCTCTCTCCTTGGGGGGTTTTTGGTGTTGGTTGCTGTCAGGCTGTCTCTGTGGGGGGTGTTTGGTGTTGGTTGCTGTCAGGCTGCCTCCGTGGGAGGGGGGGTGTTTTAGTGTTGGTTGATGTCAGGCTGTCTCCGCGGGAGGGGGGGGGGGTGGGTGTTTGGTGTTGGTGGGTGTCAGGCTCTCTCTGCCGGGACGTCCGATTTTTGTGTTGCCTAGGGCAGCACAAAACCTAAATACACCAGTGGCCCCGGGGCCTAATGTTGAAGGAATGTCATGTGTCTGTTGGTTACTCACCCATCTTCTCGCTCACCCTCGTCTATAGCACTAAATGGCACCAAATGGTAGCCCTCTTCTGCTCTCTGCTTGACTTCAGATGTATCATCTCCTAAACTCCCAGAATGCACCCAGGGCATACGTGGAGAGCAGGCAGTGCAGTGCGGTAGGGACCAACAGACAGGGAGACGTCAAGCAGGATGGTGGCCAGGCCTGACCTTGTATTACCCACAGCAAGATGGCTTCCAACATCTTTGAGATCCTGACCATGAGAATACCAACCATGAAATTTTAATTCAACAACATGGCATCCAACATATGGGAGATACTGGCCATGATGAGAATACAACCAACATGAAGGCTTCAACCACAACATGGCATCCAACATATGTGAAATACTGGCCATGATGAGAATACAACCAACACGTAGGCTTCAATACCACAACATGGCATCCAACATATGTGAGATACTGGCCATGATGAGAATACAACCAACATGAAGGCTTCAATACCACAACATGGCATCCAACATATGTGAAATACTGGCCATGATGAGAATCCAGCCAACACGTAGGCTTCAATACCACAACATGGCATCCAACATATGTGAGATACTGGCCATGATGAGATTACAACCAACACTTAAGACTTCAAAACCACAATATGGCATCCAACATATGTGAGATACTGGCCATGATGAGATTACAACCAACACTTAGACTTCAATACCACAACATGGCATCCAACATATGTGAGATACTGGGCATGATGAGAATAAAACCAACACTTAGACTTCAATACCACAACATGGCATCCAACATATGTGAGATACTGGGCATGATGAGAATAAAACCAACACTTAGACTTCAATACCACAACATGGCATCCAACATATGTGAGATACTGGGCATGATGAGAATAAAACCAACACTTAGACTTCAATACCACAACATGGCATCCAGCATATGTGAGATACTGGCCATGATGAGAATACAACCAACACATAGGCTTCAGTACCACAGCATGGCATCCAACATATGTGAAATACTGGCCATGATGAGAATACAACCAACACTGAGGTTTCCATACCACAACATGGCATCCAACATATGTGAGATACTGGCCATGATGAGATTACAACCAACACTTAGACTTCAATACCACAACATGGCATCCAACATATGTGAGATACTGGCCATGATGAGATTACAACCAACACTAGGCTTCAATACCACAACATTGTATCCAACATATGTGAGATACTGGACATGGTGAGAATACAACCAACACTGAGGCTTCAATACCACAACATGGCAACCAACATATGTGAGATAGTGGCCATGATGACAATCCAACCAACACTGAGGCTTCAGTACCACAACATGGCATCCAGCATATGTGAGATACTGGCCATGATGAGAATACAACCAACACTTAGGCTTCAGTACCACAACATGGCATCCAACATATGTGAGATACTGGCCATGATGAGAATATACAACCAACACTGAGGCTTCAATACCACAACATGCCATCCAACATATGTGAGATACTGGCCATGATGAGAATACAACCAACACGTAGGCTTCAATACCACAACATGGCATCCAACATATGTGAGATACTGGCCATGATGAGAATATACAACCAACACTGAGGCTTCAATACCACAACATGGCATCCAACATATGTGAGATACTGGCCATGATGAGAATACAACCAACACTGAGGCTTCAGTACCACAACATGGCATCCAACATATGTGAGATACTGGCCATGATGAGAATACAACCAACACTGAGGCTTCAATACCACAACATGGCATCCAACATATGTGAGATACTGGCCATGATGAGAATATACAACCAACACTGAGGCTTCAATACCACAACATGGCATCCAACATATGTGAGATACTGGCCATGATGAGAATACAACCAACACGTAGGCTTCAATACCACAACATGGCATCCAACATATGTGAGATACTGGCCATGATGAGAATATACAACCAACACTGAGGCTTCAATACCACAACATGGCATCCAACATATGTGAGATACTGGCCATGATGAGAATACAACCAACACTGAGGCTTCAATACCACAACATGGCATCCAACATATGTGAGATACTGGCCATGATGAGAATACAACCAACACTGAGGCTTCAATACCACAGCATGGCATCCAACATATGCGAGATACTGGCCATGATGAGAATATACAACCAACACTGAGGCTTCAATACCACAGCATGGCATCCAACATGTGTGATACTGGCCATGATCAGAATACAACCAACACTTAGGTTTCAATACCACAGCATGGCATCCAACATATGGGAGATACTGGCCATGACGAGAATACAACCAACACTGAGGCTTCAATACCACAACATGGCATCCAACATCTTTGAGACCCTGGCCAGGATAATACCAACAAGGATCAATGCTGAGGGTTTAATGCAGCAACATGGCATCCAACATATTTGAGATCCTGACCGGGACGATCATACAAAACCAGTATGGAGCTTCAATACTGCAACATGGCATCCAACAAGGGTGATACTAATACCAACCCACATTGAGGCTTCATTACTTCAATATGTCATCCAACATCTGTGAGACCATAATGGTGCTACTAATACCAACCAACACTGAGGGTTCCATACAGCAAGAAGTCTTACCGGCTCCTCTGGTGGTGTGGATCTGGCGTGAGCTGCATCTGCGGGTCCTAGTACAGAAAAGGAAGATATGGTGGAATCATCTATAGGAATAGTTGAATTAAGACGTATTTTTATGACATAGCTGCATATATGGAGCTGGGAAATGGAATGTCAGATCACAGAACATTATAACCATCTTCCTTCAGAGAATTCGAATGTCGATGACATTTGGCTTGATTTACTAAGGGCCAATAGACACTTTGCAGGTGCAGTTGCTCCAGAGCTTAGTAAATGAGCAGAAGCTTTGCCGACTTTCATCATCCAATCATTTTTTATCTGTAGTTGGGAAGTCTAAGAGTCTAAGAGTTATGGAATAAATGTTGCTGGATGAGATATGTACTACAGCACCCAGCCCAGAATGTCTCCATTCATGAACAGTACACGTTTCTCATATATAATAATAATATTAATAGAAATAATTTCTTACTTTGTGCCATGAAGTCGGTGTAGACGATCGGACCGCTGCAATACAATACGAGGCATTATTAACCTGAGTCACAGGTATGGAGGTCAGGTTTTGTGTACATTAGAGTCTTTAAAACAGCTTTTATCAACCTTTTTATCTCAAAGGAACCCCAAACTTTACCTCAAAGTGGTCACTGGAAAGAATGTCCCTTACATTGGGGGTCAGTGGAAAGAATGTCCCTTACATTGGGGGTCAGTGGGAAGAATGTTCCTTACATTGGTGGTCAGTGGGAAGAATGTTCCTTACATTGGTGGTCAGTGGGAAGAATGCCCCTTACATTGGGGGTCAGAGGGAAGAATGTCCCTTACATTGGTGGTCAGTGGGAAGAATGAATTACATTGTTCCCCCTTACATTGGTGGTCAGTGGGAAGAATGCCCCTTACATTGGGGGTCAGTGGGAAGAATGTCCCTTACATTGGGTCAGGGGAAGAATGTCACATTGTGGGAAGAATGCCCCTTACATTGGGGGTCAGTGGGAAGAATGTCCCTTACATTGGGGGTCAGTGGGAAGAATGTCCCTTACATTGGTGATCAGTGGGAAGAATGTCCCTTACATTGGTGGTCAGTGGGAAGAATGTCCCTTACATTGGTGGTCAGTGGGAAGAATGCCCCTTACATTGGGGCCCCCTTACATTGGGGGGTATGGTGGGAACGTCCCTTACATTGGGGGTCAGTGGGAAGAATGCCCCTTACATTGGTGGTCAGTGGGAAGAATGCCCCTTACATTGGGGGTGGTCAGTGGGAAGAATGTCCCTTACATTGGTGGTCAGTGGGAAGAATGCCCCTTATCTTGTTGGTCAGAATGGCACCCTTAGAATTGCCATACACCCTACAATCTTTATAATCTCATTTAAATCTACTGGCAAGTACATAGTGCAAGGATCTCCTTGGTTGGATAAACGATTGATTGGATAGATTAGGCAGGTCCCCATGTTGAATAGTTTTGATAAATCTAAAACTGATTGTATGAAGATGCTAAATTCAGATTGTAACCTGTATGGTCAGCCTTACTGACAGCTAAAAGGAATATTGGTGCCATGCTGCTGATTGTGTCAAGTGGCATTGGCCCCAGAACTATGCAGGTACCAGGAGGTCCATCAGCCACAGCTCAAGGAACCCCTAGCAAACTCTGGAGGAACCCTAAAATTCCAAGAAACCCTGGTGGAGAGATTCTGGTCCAAAGTGTCCGTTTTGGGTGGAATCTGGGGAATTACACAAAAGCATAGGTTCTAATATACATAATATAGGAAGAAAGGAAGAACTTACACATCATGGGCGCAGGAGGACGCTGCAAAGAAGAGGAAGGCACAGTGTTAAAGAATATGAATATCCGCTGCATCTCCTATATATTACATAGAATACAGACCCCCAGTAGGGTATTTAGGTTTTGTGCTGCCCTAGGCAACACAAAAATCACCCCCCCCCAGAGAGCCTGACACCAACCAATAACACCACCCACAGATAGGGAGCCTGACATTGACCAACAACACCCCTGTCCCCCCCCCCCACCCACCCGAGAGCCTTCCAATATCATCCCCTCCATCAGCGAGAGAGAGACCTTCACAGCTCTAGTCATCCCCAGGAACAAGAGTCAGGCTCTACATACACCATCAAGAAGCCCGCAGCCTCTCTAGGATCCCACCCGGTCCCCATGCCGCATGTGTCGCTTCTTCTACCCCTTCTTCCGGGAGACGGTGCTGCCCCCGTGAAAAATGCCACCCTAGGCAAATGCCTCGTTTGCCTTGTGGTAAATACACCCCTGCAGACCCCCTCATAAATGTGCAATGGCCCCTCTGTGACCATCCACCTGTCCATACATTGAAGACATGAGGAGCTGCTATACCCTACAGTATATATACTATATAGAATACAGACACCCCCTCATTTGTATACAATGACCCCACTGAGACCATCTACCTCTCTGGATACAATAGGCAGGGAACATGAGAAGCTGTTATGTCCTGTATATACTATTTAGAATACAGACCCCCCCCCCCCATATATCTACAATGACCATAAGTGTCTGTAAACAGAAGACATGGAACCTAAGAAGCCGTTATATCCTCTATATACTATAAAGAATACAGACCCCCCCCCACCCCCAATAAATCCACAATGATGTATGATTGGGCAGATACAAATTCCTACCATCATATGAAATTGTCATCCTGAGAAGACTCCAGTCACTGGTAGTACCCACCTTTTTTGGTGTACATATAATATACAATGGCGGACAAGACCACCAAGAGGAGGACACCGATGGTTACTCCAACATAGATGTGCTCAGAGACTCATGAGATTTATCTGTAGCTCCTGAAAGCAATTATAAAAATGGTTTATTTTATATTTTTAAAGACAATCAAAATGAATCAAGTAATTAACCTCACAGACAGTCCAGAAACACACACAAAGGCCTCTTTCACATGAACTTTCCAATCCCATTTTACAAGTGGACCCGTTCGGAACCTCCATTCTCCTCTATGGAGTGGAGGGTGTAAACAGACGTGTCCATTTACACCCGCCGACATCCGATCCGATCCACTAAAGGAACGGATGGGGATCCAATTCCCCTTCTGTCTGTTGGATCGGGTCGGATGGAAATCGACTGTTTTCATCCGACCGCCCATTGAGGAGAGCGAGCTGCTCGTGTCTGTTTTGCTGCACACAGACCTGTCATCCGCTTGCTCAGCAGAGATCAGCGGAGAGAACCCGCGGAGCAAAACAGATCCGCTAAACAGGTCCACCCCGTGTGAAAACAAAAGGGATAACAGGCACATGGTGTGGCAGTCCATGTATGTTTGATGAGTTCCAAATGGGCAGTGGTGAAGGGGTGAAGGTAGTCCAGTAGGCACTAAGGGCAAGCTGTGTAGGAGTGAAGCATAACTCTGCAGAAGGGAAAACAAAGAAACATGGCGCCTCTAAGTGTGTACTGTGAAGGTATTTAATAAAAAGATAAGTAGTAACTCACATCTTAGAATATTAAAAACAGGTTCATGGGTGAGAGGGTGAGACATCTGTAGCCAGATGTTGTTGTGTGTCTGATCCAGAGAGGAGATCTATTGAGTCCGCCAGCAGGTGGTGCTGTGCATGTGCAACATGGATGGTAAGGCTGGTGGAATCTCCAAGGTGTCTGCCAGCAGATGGTGCCGTGCAATATGCAGCATGGATGGTGGAGCCTGGCAGAGTCTCCAAGATGTCCTGGATCAGCACATGTGGCGTCTGACATCAACAAAATGCGACGCGTTTCTGAGCATGTGCAGGATGAGATGAGTCCATGCGCGCCCTTTCATCAGGGTATTGGCTGTACAACCACCATTTCCGATTCCAGTGATATATACACTATATTGCCAGAAGTATCGGGCCGCCGGCCTTTTCATGCACATGAACTTTGATGGCCTCCCAGTCTCAGTCCGTAGGGTTCAATATTGAGTTGGCCAGCTTCAACTCTTCTGGGAAGGCCGTCCACAAGGTTTAGGAGGGTGTCTATGGGAAGGTTGGACCATTCTTCCAGAAGCACATTTGTCAGGTCAGGCACTGATGTCGGGGGAGGAGGCCTGGCTCGCAGTCTCCACTCTAATTCATCCCAAAGGTGTTCTATGGGGTTGAGGTCAGGACTCTGTGCAGGCCAGTCAAGTTCCTCCACCCCAAACTGGCTCCTCCATGTCTTTATGGACCTTGCTTTGTGCACTGGTGTGCAGTCATGTTGGCAAAGGAAGGGGCCATCCCCAAACTCTTTCCACAAAGTTGGGAGCATGAAATTGTCCAAAATGTCATCCCTTCACTGGAACTAGGGGGCCAAGCCCAACCCCTGAAACACAACCCCACACCATAATCCCCCCTCCACCAAACTTTACACTTGGCACAATGCAGTCAGGCAAGTATCATTCTCCTGGCAACCGCAAAACCCAGACATGTCCATCAAATCACCAGACGGAGAGGAGTGATTGATCACTCCAGAGAACATGTCCCCACTGCTCTAGAGTCCAGTGGCGGCGTGCTTTACACCACTGCATCGATGCTTTGCATTGCACTTGGAGGCTTGGATGCAGCTGCTCGGCTTTCCATGAAGCTCTCTACGCACTGTTGTTGGGCTCATGTGAAGGCCACACCAAGTTTGGAGGTCTTTAGCTATTGACTCTGCAGACAGTTGGTGACTTCTGCGCACTGTGCGCTTCAGCATGCGCTGACCCCGCCCTGTCATGTGACGTGGCCTACCACTTGGTGGCTGAGTGGCTGTTGTTCCCAGTTGCTTCCACTTTGTTATAATGCCCACTAACAGTTGAGCGTGGAATATTTAGTAGCCAGGAAATGTCACGGATGGACTTATTGCCTAGGTGGCCACCTATCACGGGACCACGCTTGGAGTCACTGAGCTCCTGAGAGCGACCCATTCTTTCACCAATGTTTGTAGAAGCCGTCTGCATGCCTAGGGGCTGATTGTATACACCTGTGTCCATGGAGGGGATTGGAACACCTGAATCACATGATTTGGAGGGGATTGGAATACCTGAACCACATGATTGGGAGGGCTGGCCCAATATGTTTGGCATTATATATATACATAATTAGGGCATGAAATAGAATTACCAAAGCATTATAGGTTATTTAAAGGTAAAACACAGTTTTTTGTGTCTTTGTTTAAAACTTCAGATGGGGGCCATATGGCGGGATGATCACTGCTTTGAAAAGGGAGGGGTTGCAGCATTAGAAGGGGAGGAGTTACAGCTCTTACTCCTTCAGTTATTGATGGACAGTTTAGTTATTGTTTAGTTAGTAGCTATTCTAAACAATGGACTTTTGACATCATAGACCCAAAGCAGAGCTGGAAAATGTGAATGGGGAACCAAGGCCCCACCTGCTGGCCGGATAGACAATTACCACAACATTTACATACAAAATATCTGATTTACCTTATTAAACAAATAATTCTGTCATGTTTTAGTCCTACAATATCTTGGTTCAACGTAATAATAAGGGAAATACAAATGTACAAAATCACAATGTATTCCCGTGATGGAACGTTTGTACAATGAGTCATTCAGTGTATTTCTAAAAATGCGTTCTGTTATGTTACCCCTTTCATTTCCTTCTCTACACAAAGCATGTCACCTAAACATTTACTTTTTATTAGGTTTTCAAAGGTTGTGTTCTCTGCTTTGTCCCCACATGAAGAATATGAACCAGCGAAAGAGGAAACGTATAACGAAAAACAAAACTTCACACAGGAAACAAACAACAAACTGCATCTCCTTAGATTAGAAATAAGTGCAACCTGAAACCTATAAGGTGTAAGATGTAATGATCGGGACCCCATACCTCCTGTCCTCTATTAGATGTAATGATCGGGACCCCCATACCTCCTGTCCTCTATTAGATGTAATGATCGGGACCCCCATACCTGTCTCCTGTCCTCTATTAGATGTAATGATCGGGACCCCCATACCTCCTGTCCTCTATCAGATGTAATGATCGGGACCCCCATACCTCCTGTCCTCTATCAGATGTAATGATCGGGACCCTCATACCTCCTGTCCTCTATTAGATGTAATGATCGGGACCCTCATACCTCCTGTCCTCTATTAGATGTAATGATCGGGACCCTCATACCTCCTGTCCTCTATTAGATGTATTGATCGGGACCCTCATACCTCCTGTCCTCTATTAGATGTAATGATCGGGACCCTCATACCTCCTGTCCTCTATTAGATGTAATGATCGGGACCCCCATACCTCCTGTCCTCTATTAGATGTAATGATCGGGACCCCATACCTCCTGTCCTCTATTAGATGTAATGATCGGGACCCCCATACCTCCTGTCCTCTAT